CCCCCTGAACAAGTTTGCTGAAAACAGTAACTTTCTATCTACTCATGATCTCGAGCTATTGTATATGCGAGAATTGCATGTGTATACTAGCACCAAGTAGTGAAAAAATTCAGAACAACTGTCCACCAACTAAAAGATCTTAACTTCCTGAACAACTTTGCTAAAGACATTTACTCTCTATCTGGTCAGGATCTAGTGAGTTAGCACATGCGAAAACTTAACATGTATAGGAGCACTACCTAGTGAGAAGATTCTGAACTACTGTTAACCAGCAAAAATGCTATGATCTCCTGAACAGCTTTGCCTAAGACAGTAACTTTCTATCTGGTCAGGATCTCGAGATATTTTATATGAGAATTTCACGTGTATACCATCGCCGCGTATTGAGAAAATTGTGCACCAAGAAATAGGCTTTGATCTCATCCAAAACTTTGTCGACGACAGTAACTTTCTATCAGGTCATGATCTCGAGATATATCACATGCGATAATTTCACATGTATTCTAGCACTACGTAGTGAGAAAATTCTGAACTACTCAGCGAAAAGGTTATGATCTCTAGAACAACTCTGCCGAAGACAGTAACATTCTAGCTGGTCAGGGGGGAGAGGTAGCTCATCGATTCTTCCGGTTCACCTCCTAGCATCGTGCTATAAGGTACCAGGCGATAACCAGGGTAGTTGATCAATAGCTCGCTGACGTCATGTCGTTGGCGTCTGCAATGGGAAATTCTCATAGCAGGCGTTGACGACGGGACGTTGTCGAGTTGTTGAATAGCAACTATCGTGGTAACTCACCGAGTACCTGTCGATCTGCCAAATTTGGAAAGACGTCTGCATTGAATTGTCTCATATAATAATATTCCGCCCACTATATCACAAGAAATTGCGAGTAGCTGAGTGGAATGGAGATAAGTTAAGCATTGGGTACAGGACCAAGTCTCCCCTGGGTGGTGCCAAAAGATGAGCGCAATAGAATCATCAAGTTGCCATAAGGCACGGAATGAGACTTGCATGGATGGGTAGTCAAAGTCTTCCATTCGTTTCAGGTGGATTAGAACAGGTTTAGGTGGGCGTTGGCCAGATTTGGATTTTTCAGATGTAATCCTGGATAGGACCCTTTCATTGAACGTCGCGTGAAAGTGAAACTTAATGAAGGCCTAAGTACTTTTTCGTAGTTTTTAGTTTTCGGATTTGAAAGATCGTCGGTTACAGTGGCCTGCTTACTGAGCAGAAAAACGCGGTCCAAGGTCCTTACATATCAAAGAGATTTATGGTAAAATCGCTTGTGTATCGTGTATTTTGCGAAACTCGTTGTTGTCGTTGGTTCCGGGTTTGAATGGATACACAAATTTGAGCAACGGTATTATGTGATATGAGGGGCTCGGTGGCCTTAGAGCAACCGTTTTTGCTTACTGAGCAGAACATCATGAGTCTAATCTCAGGCCCATCCACATTCAAGATTCGTCAATCGTTTTATTTGTTAATATGACTACATGGTAATAACAGCAACTCGGGGATTAAAAAGGTGCTCGTCTGCCTAGTGGCAAACGTTTTTGCTTACTGAGCAGAAGACCGTGGGTTTAGTCCCAAGCTCCTTCGCGTTATATGATCATTAGGACATCAATTCAGCTTATTGTTTACCAAAACGAACTCTGCTGCAAACCCAACCTTCTTATCCAACATCCCAGTGATTCCTCGTGGAAGTGCAAAGGTGTTCTCGGCTTCCATCAAAGCGAGTGTCATGTCAACACAATCCTTCCCATTCCTTTCTTGACCTGTGTTCGGGCGCGGCCGGCGCTGGTATTGCCTAATTTAAGATCACCAGTTTTTACACATTGAGGATGATTGCTAGTCCCAAGCATCGTCTATTGGTTCTCTGTGTAATTACAGCTGATCTGGCAGTAACAGAGTAGCAACCGTGGGCGGTCAATCATGCCCAAGCTCAAGCTCAGGGTGAAATTCAAGACGGTGGCTTCCAGTTAGAGAAAAACTTGAAAATATTGTAAATTCTGCCCCACAATATCACCCCTCTCCCCTCTGAAAGTTTCCTTAATAAAGATAACTAACTAACTAACTATTTCCTTGGGACCAATAGGCTAGCCAAGTAGAGCCAATTTAAAATCGTTAGTTTCCACCAGTTGCTACTACTATCTCTACCCTTAGCATACAATAGCTACTGCACCTTCCCATAGATGTCACCACTTGTCCCCGTATAATTGTCATTGCTTGTTATGTACTCTTCTTGTTATGTTACAATAAATAAACTTCTATAGTTGTCATACCTCCGCCATGGCAGTTTTTTGCCATTTGCTATACAAAAACTAGTCAAACTGGATTAACTTCTAATCATATCCACAAGCCACATTTAAAACATAAGCAGTTTGGCTGATTTTTGTACAGAAAGAGACAAAACAGGCGAACATTCACCGTGACCTTATTCACTCATTTATGGATTAGCGCTAACCAAACCTTAACTATATTTTAGAACAAAGTCTAAGCTTTAAAAAAGATTAACTAGTTGATATTGTGCCCCGGTTTGCCACCTTCAATGCATATAGGTAGCCAGATACTGTCGGATAACTCGGCTCTGTAAAGTTTATTCAAATAAATACAAATAATTTTTATGACAATGAATTCTAGGGTGGTTCCTATTATCATTGAAATCAAAAAACTTTTTTATAATTAAGGTATACTTTTTTGGGCAAAGATATAGCAGAGCTAATTTCAAGCAACTTTGTTGAAATCAACTTTTTTGTACCTCTTAAATTGGCCGATTTAGAGCTATTTTCTTGAATTGAGAAAGGGTGGCACTTAAAAAAAACCGTTGTTTTGCTCTAGTTTTCTTATTTATAATTTTTCTCAGCAAAGGTGTCTTGAAATAACTTTTAGATATTAAGAAGGCGCAAATTTTTGCTGCACAAAGCTTGTCAATATCGTTCGCAGATCAAGAGTTATTGACGTTTTTATACTAAAAATATGCATTTTTCAAATGTTAATATCTCTGGTTGGAGCAAACAAAAAAAAAGTTTAAGTAATGAAATTGGGTTGTTAGCGGAATGCTTAAATAAAACAGCAAAAAAAGGTTATCTTCCATTTAATTCCACTTAATTAATGTTGGTATCCATGCTCGACTACAATGTGCAGTCTTTATCAGTGTCATTCCCACTAAAGAACTATTCAAAATTTATATAGGTATAAAAGTCAAGATCACAGGTATAAAAATGAAACTACAATGTGTTGTAACTAACTAATTAAAACCAAAGATTTAAGTAAAAAAAATATTTTACGGCATTTAAATGGGCGTATGTTATTCTCAATAATATGAAAAAAATTGAGGTATGTTATTTTTTAAACTCGTATTAAATCTATTTGAATTTATTCATGTTTTTTACTATATTAGGGCATATCTTTTTTTATAAGAAGATAATCAGGCAACAATTTTCGCTATAAAACATTCGTTTTAAAGAGTTTTGAAAGTCTCTAGAAGAAGACTTTCATGAGAAATTTCAAATAAAAAAGTTATTGGCAAAAGAGGGATTACATAGGACCACTCTAATGACAAATTTAAATAAAATGTGCTAGTACATTTGTTTGCATATTTGGACAATTAGTGTCTTCGAAGAAGTTTTTATTCTTAAAAATTACCTTCGTTTGGTGTTTGCAAACGTCAGGGTGGTCTTCAAATTAGGGAATTTTTAAAACTAACTTTTTTGTTTTACAAAGTAAAAACATGTGTTGTTTAAAAAGTTATAGCTAAGTTAATTGCAAGCAACTTTGTCTAAGATTTTTTTTCTTTCTCTTAACGTTCTCATTTTAGAGTAATTTTTCGTAGTTGATATAGGGTGTTCCTGGAAAAAATAGTTTTTTAGCTCTAACTTTTTTATTTGAAATTTCTCATGAAAGTCATCTTGTAGAGGCTTTTAAAAATCTATAAGACGAATGTTTTATAGCGAAATTTGTTGCCTGATTCTCTTCTTATAAAAAAGATATACCCAAATATAATAAAAAATATGAATAAATTCAAATTGATTTTATACGAGTTTAAAAAATAACAAAACCTCCAATTTTTTCATATTATTGAGAATAGCATACGCCCTTTCAAATGCCACAAAAAAACTTTTTTTTTGTTTGTCCCAACCAGAGATATTAACATTTGAAAAGTGCATATTTTTAGTATAAAAAACATCAATAACTCTTGATCGGCGAAAGATATTGACGAGCTGTGTGAAGCAAAAATTTGCGCCTTCTTAATATCTACCTTTGCTGAGAAATTCGAAATAAGACAACTAGAGCAAAACAACAGTTTTTTTTTGAGCCACCCTAACTCAATTCAAGAAAGTAGCTCTAAATCGGCCAATTTAGGAGATACAAAAAAGTTGATTTCAACAAAGTTGCTTGAAATTAGCTGAGCTATAACTTTGCCCAAGAATATATACCTTAATTTATTCAAACAAAATAGTTAGATTTTTTCCTTCAATGATAATAGGAACCACCCTAGAATTCATTGTCATAACAATAAGGGCCTAACTATAAGGAACAGCTTTCTAGCAGAGACTTTTAGTCTAAAGTTTCAATTTCAGGCTCAAAACATATCAATCTGCATTCTGGACCACTGTGCATTGCATTGTTACTAGAAATCCGATAGAAATCCCTACAAATGACCTGAAAATCTAATTTTCCACCTTATTCACATCGTTCAATTATACAGAAAACCCGCACCATGTACCCCAGTGTTCCAATTGTATGACAATGGTGTCCCCGCGCAACCGACCACACACCGGCTCATCTGGCCAACTGGCCTCTATTTCCAACAGGAAAGAAACCCCATGTAAAAGCAGACGAGCCTAATATGCATGCAGATATTCAAAACTAGATGACTACATTATAACACGAAACCGGTCACGGGTCCGAATTGTCATCATCACTCTCGCACCACCACCGCGCCACCACCGTGGAACATCTTCTTCCCAGGGCACCGGTGATGGTGTGTCTATTTTACCTAAATTGGCCATTGAATTTGGCTGCCTTGACTCCGACCGGAGCCAGATGCCCCGCCATCGGGGTTACGTGCTTCGGCGTGGGCGAGTGCACCAGATTAAGCGTGGTGACTTGATCCGACTTGGGTCCGAAGGGCTTGGCGTGGCGGGCCGTCGTTTGCATCGGCCCTGCCGGACTGATGTTGGTCAACAGGAGGGGTGTCGTCATGTACTTGGGTCCGGATGTGTGACCTCCATAGAGGGTGGACTGTTTGTGGGATTGTTGATGGTACTGTTGCTGACCACCCACCGGATGCACCTGATGAGTGTTCTGATTCTGGTACTGGGTGATGGGCTGGTTGAATTGCTTCAGGATATGCGCATTGTGCTGCGCTATATGGACTAGTTCATCCTTGCTGGTAGTATCAAAACTGGCTACACTGATCAGCTGCTGCTGAGGCACGTGATACGGGATGGGTCTCCATGGAACCTGAAGAAGTGGAAGAGAAAACGACAAAGAAGTGTTAATCGTACGTTTAATTGGCGTCTGTGTCAGCGAATAATGAGATTCAAATGAGAACTGGACTGGAGGAAGTCAATTTCGGGGAACCGTTAGGCTGTTGTTGCTCGGTTTATGACCAAATTCCAACCTTTTCTGCAGCCAGCGTTTAAAGTGGTTTAATGGTGCTCAGCTTAAAAGTGAATCATTGTCAGCTGGTATAGCCTCAGCCATTAACCTCAAATTAAAGGGCTATTGATGCGCTGGCCGACGGACGGTTTGTTGTAGCGGAGCAATTTGATCTTCTTTGAACACCAAAAGCGGCGGTGATCCTAATGTAATAGTTTCTCAAGTGACAAGGCTCTCAAAGCTCTCAATTAACTGCTGTGCGAATAAGAAGATGTTAAGCACCATTTAACAGTTTTCACTGTTCGGAATTGTTCGTATCAGAGCGTTGTTTGTATGGGCAGCCGGGAGTAATAGACCCCCTTATATCTGGCGCTAATCGTATTCATCATTCTTGCACTTTCTGCTAACGACGATCTCTAAATCACAGTCGCATGACCATTTCCCCCCTAAGTCAGACGCCAGAAAACGAAGTGAACCTCTTAAACTGCGGGTCGCCACGAATAAAACAAAAATGCATTTCGCACTACCCATGATGACTGATTGTGTTTTTGTTCGTTTGCTTTCGCATGATCAGATTCGGAAACAAAAATAGCCCACATTTATGGCCGGTTTTTTTTTCGCACTCTACGTGCACTCTTCTAAACACCTTCTTTGAAAGTGAAATGATTTTCTTTCTCAGTTTGTTTTCCGTCATAATTTTCTTCTAGCCTTCCACTTTCTACAACTCGACACGGCTCTCGGTATGCCCCCACCCACTGATGTTCCCAAGCTGTCTGCTGTTTATTATCGCGGTCTATAACTGCTGAATCCGCAGTCAAACAGAAAATCATGTAACGTTCAATTTGAGAAAATAGTGTTCATACTGCTCGGCTGAGGCAAGCCCACCATTCCACCTCCCGCAATGAACCACTCGGGCAAACAGCAACAATTCATCGACAAGTGCGATCAGCCGGCGGAAAACTTTTACCCACTGACGAAGGCAGCTGCGCGGTCGATCAGGCGGGGGTTGCGGTCGGCTTGTGTGCGTATTTGTGGGGAGTATTGTTGGCCAATTTTTTTTTTCTGTTATTATTTCTTTGACTGTGTCTTGCTGGTGGTACGTTTGCAGTGCGAGAGAAGCCATACTCAGCAAATCATAATAATTTCCCTTGTTTATCTGCATTTGCTCAACATCAGCTCAACACCTCAGAAAAAAAGCCTGAAGTGAGGTGGGCAGTGAATTTGCGAATCTACAGCTGATTCTGATCTCCAGTCATCAAATGTGATTTTGATAGTGTTTGGACTGAACTGACGTTGGGAAATTTTCTCCGAAAAGAAAAAGTTTTCTTTGTCTAATGGTAGTCGGGTTTATGAAAATGTTAAACAAAAAACACATACCTAAAACAAGATGGAAGTGTGTATCTTACCATAACAAATTAGCTTGATTGAGCCTTTCAGGATAAACTATCGATCACTAAATGAAACTTATAAAATTGGCTAAAAATCTGTTGAATAATGTATGAATCAAAAAGTGAATGTTTTAAAGAAATATGAAAATTATAATTGTTCCCTCATCGAACTCCAAATTCTCAATTATAGTCAATTCTCTATAACTCGATATTGAACGGATCATCGAGTTATAGAGCTGTAAGTAAATCCACTTTTTACGACGCAGAGTAAAATTTGCGTTAGAAAAACAGAGATTTATTTATTTATTTTAATACGTCTTCAGCTATGCTGCACAGACTGTGAATCACTTAAATAACTATGTTAGCTGTCTTAATCTAGTTTAAAAACTATTTTCACTTATATTGAAGTCAAAAAGTTTGGCATCATTAAACAAATTGAAACATGTCGCAAGTGGATGGTTTTGCCCGAACACGGTGCGATGTCTAGCAGGTGGGCTTTGGCTAGATTTGGATTTTTCAGATATACTCCTAAATAGGACCTAGATTATTTAATACTCTAGTAACCTCAAGTCCGTGCTCTGTCACAATGTTTCATTGTGATTAAGAGGCGAACCAGCCCCAGGCTGAAAGCCTCCCTAATAAAGATAAATTAATTAATTCATTGTGATTAATCAACACTCAAAGGGATAAAATATCAAATTTGGGGTGAATTTGAAAGAAAGGGAACTTGGAGTGCAGAGCGCACTGCCCACTGGACGATTCTGAAGCCTGGCCAAGTGAGTGGGGTATGGGTTTATTTGATTGAATGTCATTTCCAATGTATATATTACTTATGGGGCTACAAAATGGTGAGTTGACAACCTGGAAGGAGCGGAATATTTAGTCCTGGTCTTCACAAGTTCCTACTTCACGCCTCCTCGAGTCATATGATAACAAAAGACTACCAGTTGAAACATGGACACAGCTGGGTGGCGTAGCCTGGGCAATGTTGCCAGTCCGGCAATGTGAAGAGGTGCGACGCGAACACTGGCGCGGTAACCATAGAACGGTGATAGAGGAAATACTTCACCAAACCTGAGCGTCTGTTCACCATGGAGGTGCGGCTCAAAACGGCATCTGGTCTCCATGTAAGGAGCACCTGATCTCCGTCTTAGTGCCAGCGTGGGACTCTAAACAGAGCTGTCCACGATGATCTCCCGGCGAGGCAGGGGGTTGGGGCAGGCCCAACAAGCCGCCCTGGAAAAAAACAAAGTTGCAAATACTGAATGAAGAAATACGGATCGGAACAATCGGCACAGACCTACGCGACGAAATAAGGACTACGATTGGAAACTCGGAACATGGAACTGCAAATCGCTCGGCTTCCCGGGTTGCGATAGGTTAATCTATGACGAACTTCAACCACGCAACTTCGAAGTCGTAGCACTGCAGGAACTTTGCTGGACGGGACAAAAGGTATGGAAAAGCGGGCATCGAGCGGCTACTTTTTACCAGAGCTGTTGCACCACCAACGAGCTGGGAACCGGCTTTGTAGTGCTGGGTAAGATGCGCCAACGCGTGATTGTTTGGCAGCCGATGAACGCGAGGATGTGCAAGTTGAGGATTAAGGGTCGTTTCTTCAACTACAGTATCATCAACGTGCACTGCCCACACGAAAGGAGACCCGACGACGAGAAAGAAGCGTTCTATGCGCAGCTGGTGTACGACGGCTGTTCGCAACGGGACGTCAAAATCGTCATCGGCGACATGAACGCTCAGGTAGGACGGTAGGCAATGTATAGACCGGCAATCGGGCCAAACAGCCTGCATGCCGTATCGAACGACAACGGCCAACGATGCGTGAACTTTGCAGCCTCCCGGGGTATGGTAGTTCGAAGTACCTTTTTCCCCCGCAAGGATATCCACAAAGCCACCTGGAGATCACCTGACCAACACACAGAAAACCAAATCGATCACGTTCTAATCGACGGGAAATTCTTCTCCGACATTATCAACGTCCGCACGTACCGCAGTGCGAACATAGATTCGGACCACTACCTAGTTGCAGTATGCATGCGCTCAAAACTCTCGACGGTGCATAACACACGTCGAAGTCGAACGCCGCGACGCAACATTGAGCAACTACGGGACTCTGGAGTTGCCCAGGACTATGCGCAGCAGCTGAAAGTTGCACTACCCACGGAAGAGCAGCTTGGCGCAGCTTCTCTTGAAGATGGCTGGAGGGACATCCGTTCAGCCATAGGTAGTACTGCTGCAGCGGCACTAGGTACTGCAATCCCGGACCGAAGAAATGACTGGTTTGACGGCGAATGCAAACTGTTAGTAGAGGAGAAGAATGCAGCACGGGCCAGAATGCTGCAACACCGCACGAGATTGAATGTGGAGCGATACAGACAAGCGCGGAACAGACAAAACTCGGTTTTCCGAAGGAAGAAGCGTCAGCAGGAAGACCGAGATTGCGAGACGATGGAAAATCTGTACCGCGTAAACGACACACGGAAGTTCTATGAGAAGCTAAATAGTTCGCGCAAAGGCTACGTGCCGCAAGCCGATGTGTGCAAGGACTTGGACGGTAACCTTCTAACGAACGAGTGTGAGGTGATTGAGAGGTGGAAGCAGTACTATGACGAGCACCTCAACGGTGAAGCAGCAGAAAACGAAGGTGGCACGGCAACAGATCTTGGAGCACGCGCAGAAGACGACAGGCTACCGGCCCCTGATCTTCAAGAAGTTAAGGAGGAGATCGGTCGGCTGAAGAACAACAAAGCAACTGGTGTAGATCAACTACCAAGTGAGCTATTAAAATACAGTGGTGAAGCACTGGCTAGAGCGCTGCACTGGGTAATTGCCAAGATTGGGGAGGAGGCGATATTACCGGAGGAGTGGATGGAAGGTGTCGTATGCCCAATCTACAAAAAGGGCGACAAGTTGGATTGCTGCAACTACCGCGCGATCACACTGCTGAGTGCCGCCTACAAGGTACTCTTCCAAATTCTATGCCGCTGTCTGTCACCATTTGCAAGAGAGTTCGTGGGGCTACCACGGACCAAATTTTCTCGATTCAGCCGGTTCTGCAGAAATGCCGCGAAAACAACGTGCCCACACATCATTTGTTCATCGATTTCAAATCCGCATACGACACAATCGATCGAGATCTGCTATGGCAGATTATGCACGAGTACGGACTTCCGGATAAACTTACGCGATTGGTCAAGGCGACGATGGATCGAGTGATGTGCGTTGTTCGAGTATCGGGGACACTCTCGAGTCTCTTTGAATCTCGAAGGGGGTTACGGTAAGGTGATGAACTTTCGTGTCTGCTGTTCAACATCGCGTTAGAAGGTGTGATCAGAAGAGCTGGGATAGACACGAGTGGCACGATATTCAGGAAGTCCATCCAGCTCCTTGGCTTCGCCGATGACATTGACATTATGGCACGGAACTTTGAGATGATGGCGGAAACGTACATCAGAC